TTTTGTATGTTCCGACTCCACGCATTAAGTACATTTTCGTTTGTGTATCAACTGCATGTATAATTTTGTGAAAGCAAATGATAGCCTTTTTATAGCCATACGGCTAAATGAAGCTAGCAGAGTGACTGATGCCCAAAATTCACGGAAGATGTCATAGGATTTACACAGAGTTCGAGTTCCGTACTGGATATAGAATTTGATATATGTTTCTATTATGAATCGGAGGCATGAGTTATCTACTCACTTCTGATTGGTTTATACACAGTGGAATTGGGTGGACTATATCATAGCTTGGACATTCGCCGAACAGTGAAACTATTCCTTTAATACATGCAGACAAACTTGTATTGGTCTGGGCTTCATGATCAATGACGCAGTTTCAGAGCTGAACTTTTTCCTGACATTTGAACCTTCTCATGCATAATCTCGATTCCACCATCCACCCCCATGTGATTTGAATTGAAGTTCTTCTCAGTCTTTTCTTTATCTCCTCAGATGATCATGACAGTGGTATTACGTTAAAATCGATTTTACAAGTCCTCCAACTTGTTCGCCAGGGCGTCAACCCCTGTATGCTTAACTCAAAGCACCATGTACCACTTCCAAAAGGAGTTATGTCTTCAGTTTGCAAGTACATAAGCGGTAAGTTTAAGGTCAAGCCCATGGGCTTATTTTCGGGATGGAGGGGGTATTATTATGCGAAGAATATTTGCGTCAGAGAAAAAGTATAAAAATCCTTTTCGTTTTTGACAAAAAGAGTTCACAAACCTTCACTGGGTTTTGAGTAGTGACTGTGTGCACAGTTTCCGACCAGTGTTTCATAAATGTGCAACATCGTTGCTTAAGTTGAGTGAAAATTAGGTTTATAACTTTATCTATGACTTTCGCTAAGGATATGTACACAATGCCACGCTAGGCAACAGTAAGGTAAATTTGTTGATTTTTTTTCGAGACGAAGTAATTTACGTCTTTGTTTTGCGTTACTGCAGTTCCATAAAAGAAAGTGGAAGGAAAATTCTTTGTTCTTTGGTCTGTTTTTTTTTTTGTTTGTTTGTTTGTTTGTTTTTGTTTTTTTTTTTGCAGCCACCGTTAATTGTTGTGCTCGCTTACTGGGCTCACTGTCGCGGAGGGTGTAAGGGGGGGAGTGGTATTCCCTTATATGGGCTATATAGGTATGTGCGGCCCCAAAGGGTATGGTTTTCGGCAGCCGTTTTTTCATAAAAAGGGTATCGATTTTTGGCCATTTTGATCATAAATAGGGTATGGTCTTTGTACTCTAGTCCTGAATTGCGTATGTTTTTTAGAAGAACTACTTTTCCATTATTACCGACAAGGCCATCAACAAAAGTCCTTTACAATATCTTTAAAATCTGTCTGAGCAAGGCAACTAATTATAACGCAGGTCTGAAACAGAGTATTGATTAAAGGGTCAGTCATAAATAGGGTACCGAATTTTTGGTCAGGTCATAAATAGGGGGAAAATCGCAGATTTCGGCTTTAAATGGCGTAAGGACTTTGGGAAACGGGCCCCACACCCCCACCCAATCTTTCTGGGAGTACCCCCGGAATGGCTGTACGGATGATGGGTAACGACGTAAGGAAGTCAAGAGTAAAGACGGAACTCTTTTGAACAGCTCGGTATTAAAAACTACTGCAACTGAGGAAGGGGAGATATAGCAGTTTTAAAATGAAGTGGTCGGATTTTGGGCAACAAGATAGCATAGAAATTCCACGTTAGCTGTTATGAAACGAATCGTCTGCTTTACCTTCAGTTTACATTCCTATAGGGGAATCCTTGTTTACAATATTTGCCTCATTAGCATAAGCAGTTCAGTTTCCGATAGAGCTACAAATAAATCAGTTCTCAATATTGAAAGGTCGTAGTACAATTAACTCTGCCAATGAATATGAGCCTGATGTATTGAATACTTTGTGCAACACGGGTTTAAAAACTCAAAATTTTACGAAGAATGTATGAGCTCATTAGCGCTTTTGCCACCCAGAAATTTTGTAGTTTTTGAAAGA